CCAATAATCGTCTCGCGTGGCACCATGATGTTCGCCGTTCGTCAAACATCGGCGCGCGTTGCGCAGATCTAACGTCATCGTCGATGTGCTTAGGTAAGGGGTAGACATGCAAGCTGCATCGGTAATGCCATCTTCCTTGTCCATATCGCAGATGCACGTTATTTTTTCGGCCAAAGCTTTTCCACATCTACGATCCACATGCTGCAGCATGCATGGAGCGCGCTCACATGGCCGCATCGGTAAGCGGCCAAGCGGAGATGGGCCTGCTTCTGTACCTGCAGCTTCTGATGTTTACCCGAGCTTGAGGTGCGATTTGGCTTACTGGGTTGGCCACGCGAGGCTGCCGCTCCGCGGGGGCGAGTATCTGGATGTACCGGTCCAGATTTCTCAGCAACAAATGTAGACCGGGTGTATGCTTAAGCGTTAAACTACTCCCAAAGAGCACTGGCGACATCGCCGAAGCCTTGGAAGGAACCCAGTTTTGTTAATTGCAGCTGTTGATCTCTTGCGGGGCGGGAGCACTAGCGGCTCAAAACTTAAACGCTCCACCATGTCATCACGTCGTCACGTTGTTTGCACGCGGCAAATCGTGGAAAACACGCCCCCTGTACGCACGCGTTCACGCAGCGCCCAGGTTTTCCCAGCAGGCATTGAGGTGCACTGAGCAGGCAAGATTCAGCAGCGCATCTTCTGATTCGTCCGAAATGTCTTCCCGATGCCAGTCCCGAGATTCCCATGTCGTGGCCGACTTTTCGATATCTGCGGCTTGCACTACCGCATCCGTCCAGTCATGAAATCATAGCTGTTAAACCTATTTCGGCAGCGACGCTTGTGGTCATCGATGTGAAATCAGTAGGAAGTAGCGTTGACGCGATGCGGTCACTGATGCGCGATGCGCGTATATAACCATTACAGACGCCGTCCATTGTCCCAACCGCACAACACCTCGACCCGACAATCGACTTCAAGATGTTGACCAAGAGCCTCTTCACCACTTCGGTCCTCGCAGCTTTCGCTGCTGCCGCTCCTGCCCCCCAGGACGGCTACAGCGCTGCCAAGCCGACTGAAGATGTCCCAGGCTACACCAACGCGGATGCCAGCTTCTCCGTTACCTTCACGCCAGATGCCACACCCGCTACCTCGTTCGGCTCTGCCTCCCAGGTCGCTGCTATTCCCACTGCACCTGGCTCAGCTCCTCCCCGCAGGAGCTCAGATGTCACTGGCGCCACCAGCCATGGCCCATACGATGGCACTCCCACCACTACCGGAGCTGCTAAGGCGCCTACCACCATTGGCACTGCCATCGCTCCTCTAGGCCCGGCGCCCACGGCTACCTACTACAACACCAACGGCAAGCCCCAGGACCCCATGCCCATCCCCTACATGCCAGCTGGTGGTCTCGGTACCAACGGCACCGAGCCTCGCTACATGGTGAACAGCGACTTCGACTACGAGTCCATCACCCTGGGTCTCTATCAGGAATGGATCGAGCTCGACCTGTTCAACAACGGTCTCGCTGTCTTCTCCGCGCAAGACTTCCTCGACGCTGGTCTGACTGCTGAGGACCGCGCCTACATCGCCTTCATGGCCCAGCAAGAGAGTGGCCACGCTACCCTCCTCAGCAACATGCTCGGCGAGACTGCTCCTCCCCAGTGCACCTATAACTACCCCTACCGCACCGTCCGCGAGTTCATCGACTTCAACATGAAGCTCACCCGCTTCGGCGAGTCTGGTGTCTGGGGTTTCCTCGCCCACATGGACGCCCGCGAGGTCGCCAACCTCCTCTCCCAGTCCATCGCCACTGAGGCGCGCCAGCAAATGTCTTTCCGCCAGATGCTCGGCCTTGCTCCCATGCCCGTCTACTTCGAGACCGGTATCCCCCAGTCCTGGGCCTGGACCTACCTCGCCCCTTACATCAGCTCTTGCCCCGAGAACACCACGCGTCTCGCATGGCAAAACTTCCCGGCTCTGTTCATCGACAACCAGCCCAACCCCAACCGCTTCTCGCCCAACGACACCAAGCCCCACGAGGTAGCTGGTGACCGCGTCGCCGACCCCGCTGACTCCACCATTGACCCCGACGAGTCCTGCGTCAACGTCAACGGCACCGAGCACCCTGGCTACTCCTGCGGTCCCGCCGTCGCCCGCAACCGCACTCAGCCTCTCTCCTTCCCCGGCAAGCTCGTCAACCTCACCTGGGAGAACCCCGGCCAGGCTGTCGGCCCCAACAACTCTTACATCACCGACACCTCTGCCGGCGCCCCCGCCTACGTCGCTTGGGTCTCGCAGCTGAACTTGACATACACCCCTCTTGAGATCACTGGCGAGAACACTGGTTTCACTTACCAGCCCGCCGGTGAAGTTTACCAGGGTGAGCCAGCTGTCAACGACACCATGTTCGTTGCTCTGACTGATGCCAACCCCTTCCTTACTCCCTTCAACTTGAGCATGATCAACCCCCACGTTGTTGCTCTTGGTCTGTACCAGGCCGGTTAAGTCTGTGCGATGAGAGATGAGAAGGTGGATGTCATGATGTTACTGTATCATCGTGGACATGTAAAGTTAGAGGATGAGGCCTATGAGCCATGTAATTAGTCGAGAGGATGACGATGTTGTATGATAGCTGGTGGATGGATGGTTGAGAAAGAAAGTAATGCGTAATGATACCAATTTGTCATCATCAAAAGACCTAATATGTTCATGTCATGTGCCATGTGTTCGCTTGATTACGCTGCTTCCATCTTATCTCCCGCGTTCGCTCTTCTCAGCGCATATAAAAGGCGACTTTTCTTCTCTTCTCCTTACCTTTCTACACTTTATTCAATTTGGTTGTGTTTTCCAAAAGCATGAAAACACTGCACACATGGGCGTCCCTGCCTCCTCTTTCTTCAAAAATGTACTGCCTGCACTGTCATGTCCAGATTTCGGCCTCCACCACTGCATGCTTGTCCAAAACATCGAAAAACATATACATCAGCTGCATGTTTGTCCGAACACCAAAATCACCGGTATACCTATCCATGAGCGCTGCGCTCGCCTCTCCAAAATCGCTATCAAATTGTTCTATGTCTCGGGTTTTCTGTATAAACCTTCTACGACGGCGCACTTCCAAACACCCTCACACCTCTCTTTCCGAAAAGGTGAGCGCCAAATTCCAAAATCACAAGCGAGAATTCCTATGTCTGTCCCTGACTTCTCCGCTGTTTCTCAAACTGCAGTACTGTCGCGTTACTGTATCACCAAACAATGTCGCTAATGTTCGCATGTCTGTCCCAAACCCGAAACAGACCAAAAGGTTCTGGATGGGAGCTGTGCGGTTGCTTTATTTACGGCTTCTCAAAATGGGACGTGTTCTCCAGTCCTTCATATAAAACCGCCTACTACTCTGCGCCTTCCAACGTATTCTCCAACACCTGCAGACGAACCGCCAATTATTCCAAAAATTGAAGACTCGACCCGCATGTCGGCTTCTGGCTTTTCGCCTTCTTTTCCATCAAAAGTTCTTGCGCAATACGATATGTGCGAATCAAACGCCCCATGGACATTCCACATGTGTGTCCGACAACAAACATTTCATACACTTCCTGATGAGGGTCGTGCGCTCGTCTTGCTTGGAAATATCTGCGCTCTCTATACATGTTGCTTCTCTTCTTTGTATCTCAAACCATTACCGCATTCCTCTCTTCTACTCCGAGAATCGAGATGCTGCCGAAAATGATTTTCTGAGTCTCCAAAAGCCGAGAAGACTGAAGCCATGGGCAGTCTGCTCTCCTCGCGTGTTACCGAGATCATACCTGGTCATCCGGCCGCTATGTCACACAAAACGTGCTCATCACGTTCCTTCCTTCTACTCTAAAATACGTTCGCTCCTGGCCATGATTGCTGGGTTTTCTAAAATGTCAAGACACGAGCAAATGGGCGTTCTTCTCTCCTCCTGTGTTACCAAAACTGTACCTGCCCCTGCACTACGTTTCATACGTACTGTATTCATCTGTTCTACTCTGAAAATGACGAGGCTTCAGTTGATGAGTCCTGCTTCTTCAAAAGACACACTATCCGTACATATGGGTGGCTTGCTCTCCTCTTCTGTCGCGGGAGTCTCAAAAACGGTGATCTCGCGGCGTCACCAAAATACCCTTCGGTCCCCCACATGTCCGGGCGAACAGAAACCAAACGCCTAGCATGCCATGAATACTCTGCTTTCAAAGTTGCTTGGAAGTAGTACCCGGTCTCTGGGCTCTCATATAAAAGACCAGGGAGCTGTCCATCTTGATCTTCCTCCTCCTACATTCACATACTCCAAAACGTGGAAGGTGGATTCCAAAAGTTCGAGCTTCGAGACCCATGGCCTTTCCCGCTCCTCTCTCGTGTTGCATTAACTGCTGAAATGCGATCTTCCCCAAACACCAAAAATCGCGCGAGCCTACGCGATGTTCTGCGGAGTCCAAAAACACCACCAAACCCTGACATGAGGGCTTTGCGCTTCGCCTGTTTCCAATCTTCTCAGAGAGAAAGTTAGGTAAAGAAAGGTAATTATATTTAACGCACTTCTTAGCTTTATAAGGTTAGTAACAATTACTTTTGTTAGAAGTATCGCAGACATAGAAGCAACCTTGACATGTTTTTAGACATGTGGATCCTGTAGATTAAATTCGAAATATTACTTAGATACTCTAGATCCGCCGACCAGGAACATTAACGCAGAATTTATCTTTTTTGATGGCGCACAGCTATGAATCCATGAGTGCAATATTTTGCACCTTTAAGGCTGGAGATGAGGGAAGATGCGTCACATGTAGTTCTTGATAAAGCAAATTTTCGAATGGTTCATGTGCTCGGCTAGCAATCTGCTGGTACCAAAGTACCTACACCAACTTCCATGGTACGCTGGACCTAGAACTTTTCGACCTGCCAGACTTTGGGTATAAATAAAATCTTTCGTCCAAGTTGTATCCTTTCTTCTTTTATCTCGGGGTTCACAAAGTTCCAAACCCAAAACCATGAATCCATCATCCAAGACCGAGTTCTTTGTTGTCTGCGGTGGCAGCAACCCCAAAGAGGACGTATGGCAGTTCGCCGACTTCTTCGCCATACTACGTGAGCTTGAGATCAATTTCGACTACACCGTCACCACCACAGCATGGAACATGTTTCCGTATGAAGAGTATTTCAAGACCTACAGTCTTGACAAGCACAAGGATGAGGTTTGGTTTGGCTACAAGCATCCTGGCTTTCGAGTCGATCCTGCATTTCGCTTCAAGAAAGGCGACCCTACTCCATGGAAAGATTGGGACAAGGATTCAACTCCTAATATGGACAAGAAGATCTTGCAACATATTGAGCAACGCAGCCTCAAGGCAGGTGATCGATTCAACTTCATCTTCATTGGTCACAGCTATGAGGAGGGCGATTTCGAGGTTGGAAACCAGAAACTGCTTCGCAAAGATCTGGCAAAGTCCTTCATTCGTTTCTCTCCTGACGTTCAGGTCAATATCATAGTTGCTTCATGCTGGTCTGGCAAGCTCGTAAACCAGATGCGCGACCTTGGAAGTAAAGGCCAATACGTTCAGAGCTCCACGACTGCGGATCTGATGAGCTGGTCCTATGGAAGGAGAGTTGTCAGTGATCCTCTTCGCGGATCGCCCTTCATCGCATCCATCATAGAATCTATGCACGGTTGGGTTGGAGAAAAGAGCAAGGCTCCCAGAACTCTGGGCGAGCACATCGAACACGTTCGCAAACGCGGTATCTGGTTTCACGAGCCAAAGTCGATCCCTCAGGCATTCACCAACGTCGATCTGCATGTGGCGGTTGTGCAAGTATTATTCGCGCACTATGTGCATCTGAAGCCTAGTGATTCGAAAGGTCGCAAAACAGCAATGGTCATCGATCCCGGATATCCAGCCCCCAACTCGACCTATGGTCCGACATTCCAGCCTCAGCAGGCGCCAGCGGCTGCAAATAGAGCACTCGAGCTCGTCAAGAAAGAGATGGCATTGGTAAAGAACAACTCCAATCCTGGACACCCTCGAGACCTTGGCTTCGGAACTCTTCTGCAAGTTGCTGGATCTTCCTCAAAGAGTGTCAAAGAGCGAATGCACCACCTCATCATCATGCTCGACGGACTCAAATGGCGCTTTCAAATGCAAGAGCGACTGATTCTTATCTGGGACGAACTCGTGAATTACGAGGTTCTTTCTACAGAGTGCATTATGAGGAGGATGGAACTGGTAAGCTTTGACTGTACGAAGTGCATGTGAGACATATACTGACTTTGTACCTCTACCTTTGCAGGAAGCAGCCATGCAATCTGATCCAGTTCGCATTCTTGCTAGAGCTCTTCGTCTCTTCGAGTATGCACAAGACTTCGACGACTCAGCTCGCGGCACGATCGAGAAGTTTCCCAAGGACACCATCAGAGGAAAGTTCCAAGAGCCTACATACTGGCTCGCCACTTTGCTCTTGCGCTGCGACACTGACAATGTCCCGGGAGTTGTCAGCTGGTTGAGAAAGAGCAGGCTGCTTGGTGGTATAGCAGCTGATGCCGAGGTCCAAGATCTTGAAGGAATTGAGAAGCTGGAGAAGGATAGCACATACCTCTTGTGCCCAGACGTAACTCCGCGCGCCAATGACTTGAGGAGCTGCCGCATAGGGTTCATTCTTCCACACGGCGAGAACCTCAAGACTTGGGCAAGGGCGACGTCTATCCGGTATGCAAATCTCAGGAATGTCTATCGTGAGCTGTGTGGTCAGCGATCCTGGGACATGGATGAAAACTTCAGGGGAGCTTTGGAAGAGATGACTCAATGGGTTCCTTCCGATTATGAGACTGTGTTGAAGAGCAAGGCAGAGGAGAGTAAGTAGGGTATATCAAGGAGCGTCTGAACGTAAAGGAGAATAGCAGGAATGTAAGTTAGGATTTTTGTCAAGTGACAACCTTCTAGGTACTTAGTTCTAAATGATGTGCCAGCCGTCAATGGGATCGTGCAGCCCATACACCGAACGCCTCCTTAGCCAACCAAACCAAACTTGCATATGCGCCATCCTCTAATCTGCACCGTCACCTAAGTACAAGTGACATCGCCAAGCCCTGACATCTCCCTCACAGCATTCTCAATCTCATCTGTACTCATAACACTCACAAACGTAGCCGTGAACGAATCCCCACCCGTGTAGTTGAACGAGTCTTCACCGAACTTTTTCTTGAGTGAAGCTTCGTCGCCCCAACCAGATCCAGTGACCTCCCATTTCCCGCCGCCAAGGCCCTGCTCGAGAACCTTGCAGGCAGCTGTGTTTGGAAGTGGCGCTGGTGCTTCTGGTGCTGGCTCGGGTTTCGGCTCGGTGTCGGAAGCGGGGCGGTTGTGGACGTTGCAGATTTCCTGTGGTGTTGTTAATTCACAATCTTCGTCGGGATGTGTAGGAGGTGACGAACATTCTTCAAATCTTCATTTGTGACCTCGCCGTTCTCGATGATCGGGCGGCCTGGAACCGACTTCTCGGGTGTTGGGGCTCGCTTTGTGAAGAGAGAACGTTTGGCTGCCGCATCGGGAAGATCGCACAGTCTGTGGCCGAGTTAGTACGTGATTATTCGAGGCAAGAAAGATATCGTACGTATTCTGCGCCAGATTGTATGGTACTTTGAGGCTGTCCTTGTCGGGCTTTGGCGATGTAGGATATTCCTCGCCTTCTTTAAACGGGTTGTCGTTCCTGACTTCCGAGTTCTTCAACATGAACTTCTTCATGTCTGCCGGTGCGGTGTCGTCGCCCCAGTTGCTGCTTAGTCCCGGGATGCTGAAGAGGTATGCAGCAAGTCCGGCCTTCAGTCATTAGCGTCTTGTGTTGGGTTGGAGATGTTGCCGAATACTTACTATGGCTGGTGCCGCAGCGGAAGTTCCGTCAACTGGCGCAGTGGAGTCATCCTTGTCGTTATGCTTCGCAGCAACAACTTGAACTGCGTCGGCGTATACATCGACTTGGCCGCCTTGGCCCTCCTTGCCTTGGACTGTATGTGCGTAATACTTCCCGGTCTGGTCCACGCCACCCACAGTGATCATTTCAAACCTATTGTCGGTGCCATAGGTTTGCGGTATGAGGGAATCCAGAGTGCGATGTTCTCCATCATTACCCGCGGCGATAACAAGCGTGACACCGTCTTTCTTGCATTCCGCGAGTGCATACTCCAATACCGCAATCTTACCAGGATGCTGTTCTATGTCCCAGCCTGAACTGTTGTTAGTGTGGTCTAGGACGAGGTCGTGGAAGGCAATACTTACCATAAGATAGGTTGATAATATACCTTGCGTTAGGGTCGGGATTTTCGAGCTTTTGTTGCCTAATGTCCTTCCTTGTCCACGCCAATGCATACTCTAGCGCTGAGTCCGTAACGCCGCGTGGTTTAAGTTCAGGTCGGTCAGGGTTCAAAGGGTTCTTGGCCCAGTTCCTCATCTTCACGACAACAAGATTTGCTTTCGAAGCCACACCACTGACGTATCCGGCTGCGATACTCGCAACCATAGTGCCGTGACCAGTGACATCTGTCATATCCTCTGGGCCTTGTTGATCTGGCGTGAGCCCAATACCAGCGAATGTGTATCGGTTAGCAACAGTAAAGTCCCGAACCTCGCGCTCTGAAGCATCGAATTCTTGGTGGCTTTTACGATAACCACTATCGAGGACGTAAATCGTTTGACCCTTTCCGAGTGAAGGCTCAAACACATAGTTCGGTAGCTTTGTGGGGTCGTTTCTCTGGTTCCTGGCTGATAGCAACTTGAGATGAGCTGCACTCTCATCCCTCTGGTTGAGTGCCTGAGCTTTGACATGGAGTGAACTTGGAAGTAGTGAGCTCGGATCTTCCTGCGGAGGGATGACGCGCAACTCGCCATCATCTTCAGTAATAGGCTCGATGAATCTTATGATAGGATCCTGGCGGACAATAGCGGCCTCCGCGTCAGTAAGATTCAGATATTGACAAGAAACATATTCGAGTTCATCGAAAGCGATTATGTCGCCTTCCTTGTCACCAAGCGGCGGCTTCTTGGCCCACTCTTCGTATTGGGCTCTGTTGATGCCGTCAATGGTGCTGAGAAGATAGGCTCTGGGAGTATCTTCGTCTCTCTTAACGCGCTTCGTAGTCTCCGCGATCTCTGCTGGAGAGGCGTCATTTGAATCCGGATGGCATGTATCTCTCTTGATTCCCTTGTCGTCTGAGGTGGCGCATGATGGTTTCACCACGGAGTTGGCCGAATCGTTGGGGCTGAATAATGCAGTTCCCACTTTGTCATTGGTACCCATCCTGTGATGGAAGGAGACAGTAGGCCCAGTTGTAGCGGCTGCAATAGTGATGTGTGTGAGGAAGACTGCGATTGCTCCCAGAACAACGCGCGAGATGTGAACCATGTCGGAAGCCTTGGCGAAGCGGGGAAGTTCACAGCGAATCGGATAAAGAGGTGCTCAATTGCCGCGAACAGCCAATCGAAGAAGGAGTATTCTGATGGATGCGAAAGTCACGATGTGTACAAGGTAGTATGAGAGTAGTCGTTGCGGAATGTTCGTGTATGGTCTCGCTTTTGGAGCGTCATGCCTTCTTCATATATTCAAACACATGAACAGAAATAGAGCACTCACTTTGGCCAGCCCACAATGACAAACGGAATGTTTCCATGCCGACGAGGAAACAATACTGTTCGGATGCCTGACGCCTCCCTCAGGTTTGAAATTGCCAGCCTGTTCTGACGCCGAGGGGCGTAAGGCATATTCGAGATGCTTTATCTTTGGATCAGAACAACATACCGGTCCTGCGGCACGGGAGTTCGAACAGACGCTGCATAGGACCACTGAACGATAATTTCGTGTTGAAAAAGGTCTGTCTCGATCAATGTGAGCCCTGCTCAACGGGTCAAAGAGAAGTCCAGCTGTCCGCTAGACTCGCATCTTTTAGCCAGATCGCGCAAAGGGTCTGAGTTCGATGAGTTGGAGAAGTGACGGCGACAGAGTTGCTGCGCAGAGCCTCCAAAGATCTGCGTAGCATCATCGTTGAAACGTACGTTCGCCTTGCCGTCGAGTATCAGGTATTTGCGTTCGCTGATGTCAGCGAGGCACGTCGGATCGCGGACGTGAATAGCATCAGCGTCTCGCGAAGGCAGATTGTGTTTTCATCGACGTGTCGTTTCAAGGGCCTGTATGGGGGCTGCAATGATTACGTGAGTGTTTGCAATGGTCTTAGTAGTCGCAATGTCCTGTCCTTCTCTTTCTCATACTGCGTGCCGCGTAGCGACTACCCATTAAACGCGCCGCACTTGATAATGTAAGCTAGAGGCTGTCGTGAGTCCCGATCGTGTAGGGAAGGCAGGGCCAGCGTCGCAACCTCTAAACGAAGTAAACACGTGTACTTCTCGCGCCGCAACACTCTGTGGCCCTTCAAAGACATGTCTAAGTCGCAGCGGCATATATCACGCGTGAAAACGCGTCGGTAGCTGAGCGTGTCGAGAGAGTAGGAGCGCGACCCGACGCGGCTCTGCGGCAGATCGATGATGGCGGGGAATTAGCGCAACAATGCGGAGCCTCCGCCTGCCGGCAGAGCCACATTTATGAAAAGCTCTGCCAACGGATGACATCGGCGATCTAGAATTCGGCATGGCATCTCAACATGTTATCGGAGATATACCCTTCTGCATCAGCCACTACTTCGCGGGCAGAACAGCGATTTCTTGAAGCCTGCTACCACATACCTTGTTCGCTCATCTACACCAGTTTTACCTTTGCAACGAAACAAATTCACGATGGCGACAGACGACATCCAGATCCCGCAACACGTGGGCCTCTCAGAAGCACCCCGCGATGTCGAAGCCATCAAGAAGCAAGAAAAGGCCGCTCTGTTGCCACACTGGGATTCCGGCATCGCATTCAAGCTCGGCTACAACCTTCGCACACGCCTGCTTACCTTTGAGCGACCGGCTGTCGTAGATATTTCTACCATCAGCACGCCAGGTCATGTGCTTTTTCATGCCGTGAGTACCATGATCGACGCGTGTAATCGATATACTAATACGAAGTAGGTAACACACTCCGGCACAGCCCTAGACAACGACTTCTGGGTCAGCCGCAAACGCGCAGCCGTCATCCGCTTCAACGCAAGCACGTGGCGTCTGCAGAACCAATTTGAAGGCGACGAGGAGAAGTTCAAGGCCAAGATGGGCCTCGGTGAGACGGCGAAAGACTATGCGATTCACGGTGGTGGCGTGCCGATTTACATCAAGAACTGTGATGGACCGGTTGCGGTGGTCGTTGTGAGTGGGTTGAAGCAGTGGGATGACCATCAGGTTGTGATTGAGGAGTTGGGTAAGCTTTGCGAGGAGATGGAGAAGGGTACTGCGGGTACGCCGATTTAGGAGGTGGGAGGGGTACATAAGTAGAGCTGATTTGGACCGAGTCTTCCTTTTATCATCTACTCCAATTTACCATTTTCGAAACATGAAGGGCCAGAATCCATGGGTGCAAAAAAGATAAACCCGAAAGCGATATGGCTGTCGTGTCCTGCCGAGGACTCGTTCTCTCCAAAATTCGTTCTTCGCACGATACATGTGCGGCGTCGGCCTTCCAGAGGACTAAATCGTCGAAACCAAAGACCTGGGTTTCAATTTCGATGTTACAATTCGCTGATGCAAAAGATCCTTCCATAATCCTTCAAAAAGGTCTTTTTTTCCCAATTCATGTGGCATTCACAACTTCCAAAGTCTCCGAAACCCCATGCTAGTCAAGGCATGACTTTGCCCCTTTGCCTCTGCCAAAAGTTACTTCCCTCTCCCTCGGTGCGAGCTACATCCTTCTTCAAGCCTTCCAAATTTTACCAACTCCAACACATGCGAGCACCTGGTCTTTCCGAAAACTACTCCGCCACTTATTATGTCTTTTGGCACCGAAGAAATCTGCGCATTCTTCAAAACGACACATTACAGGACTATGTCTCTCGACGTCTCCATGAAAGCTAGCGCACTATAGCACCTGGCCAGATATAAAAGCTCGCACAGTCACCCTTCTTCCATCACTCTATCATTCACTCCTTTGCACAAGGATACCAAAAATTAGTATACGCCTTAACATGAACTTCCTGTGCTTCTCCCCAAAAGCTTACATTGTTTGGGGCATGTGCAGTTTTCCCAGCCCTTTTCCGCGTACTTTGAGATCTCATCGGCACTGAGTTTTCTGCTTACCATCTACTCAAAACCTCCGATTACCAAAACGAACTAGGTATTCACGGAGTCATGGATAGTAAAACTCGACAAGCGACGCTCCATGTGTTTGCTGTCTCCTGCGGCGGTCTCAGCACTCAAAACAAACAGCTGGGTAGTTCATGCGCTGCGCCGGCAGTCGGCAAGACCAGCAAGCAAACAGGCGTGTCGCTGCCGATCATAGTACGAAGCTATCTACTGTATCAAAGACCCTCTTCAAGGTCCGCATAATCCGAAAACTGGTTTTACATGACCGATGTTCCCTGCCAGCAGATTTCCAAAACTGTCTACCGCTTCTATGTATGACCGTCCGTTCCTGACCTTCTTCTACTTCCGTCTTCCTTGCCGTGAGCGTCGGAGCATTCATCCCTCTCTTGTCTGTTCAAACCCTAAAAGCAGCTGGGATATGCGAATACGTGGGCTTTCCAAAACGCAACGTGGAACACGATATGGCTTCTGTCGTCCGCAACTTGCTCAATACCAAAAAACGACGACTGCTCCCTGATGTCTCTCGGCGCTTCCCCTGTGATTGTCGATGCCACTTCAACACGTGATACAGAGACGTATAAATACCCCTCAGTAATTTCTTCCTCTTCCACTTCATTATTCCCTCACTCAGGTTTGAGTATTCAAAAACGCTTCGGTACCGGATCATGGTTGTTCCTGTTCTTTTCCAAAAATCCAATGTCGAAGATCTGATGGCTGCTTTCCCGCACTCCGCGCGTTTATCCGAAAACGTCGTTCAGTCCACCGCACTCCAAATTGACAAACATTTGCCTTATGATTGGGAAACGCCGCCGAACAGAACGATGTGGGCTCCAAAATCTGCGTATGAACGAGTCATGAGCTTGTTCGTTTCTTAAGCTCCTAAAACCAACATCAAAGCAGACCTCGTTATGTGGGCAACTCCGGCGCTGGTATAAAGGGGTTTTGCAGCACTTCACTCTTCCTCTCAACCTCGCTAGTGTTATTCAGAAAACGCAATTCAAAGAGATAATGAAACCTTACATGATTCGTCGAGCTTATGAGATTTGCTATGCTACACGACGTTCTTCTCGTCCGATTGAGTTCGTGCGACAAACGGAAGTGCAGAGTATTATTGTACTGTTGACGGGCGACGTGCTTGATGTAAGATTATGTTGTGTGCTGCGCAGCACATGGAATATGATTCAAACGATTTCGGAATGCTCAGAACCAGTTTGTCGTAACAAAGCCGCGAATGCATACTCGAGATGGATAACTGAGTCTTTCCGAGAGCCAGTCCCATGCGCGAAAGATCATCGTCTTTTCAGAACGAGACATGGCTCTCTTCCCGAGCGAATTTGAAAACATGACTTGGCCTTGATAATTTTTTGGTAACCAAGAAGATATGTGTTGATCATGAGGAAGGACGAAGCATGGACAAGAGAGAGCAGGTTATATAGCCATCCACAGCCACGAGCTTTCAAAGTCGCATAGCAGAATAGTTCTGTCATTTGGGCAAGTCTCAACTCAAACATTCGGATATCGTATACTATGTAGATAACGAGAGGATCTTTTAATGGTGAAGTATGAGCAAGATGGTACCGAAAGGCGGAGCCATACTCGGGATCTTGCTCAGTTTTGCAGAGGACATAAGCAGGAGGAACTCAGGTTTTGAACTCATCACTCTCTTTTTCTGTGGTTTTTGGAAAGAGAAGAGAAAGTTTGGGTGTGTGTAAGAGGAAGGGAGAAGACGCCGTCGCAAGGTGCCTTTCATACTACGCACTGTAGCGGGCTCTCAGAGTTGCATGAGTGATGGCTCAAGCTATTCGTGCGACTCTTTCCCAAACGCTGCAATGCCGTGTCCCATGTAAAATGTGGAATATCTTTTGATCTTGAAGTACAAGCCGGATGGTAACAGAGGGCAGAACCATTGAAGGCGGCAGTCGATCTTTTGAGAGGACACAGCAGAGCAAAAAAAGATCTCAGAGCCATGAGAGCATTCGATATCTGTTTCGAAGAAAAGAGGAAGTTTTGAATGCTAAGAAAGCAGGAGAAGAGTCGACCGAGCGACGCCTTTTATACCCTCCACACCACCCGCTAGGCCCCTGAAAGTACCCAAGACAAAGCGATGTGTTCATATATCATATTCGATGCTCGCATAATCCATCATAATCCACCCCACCCACAAACCATCCACAACAAAGAACACAAACTTTTCGGTCCTGACCAAGGGTGCCATCTTCTCCAAGACATGGTCGGGGATCAAGCAACTCGTAGGGTATACGCGAAAAGATCAAAACGCCAAAACTGACAGCCTATATCTAGGGACAACACATCTAACCTTCTTCCGTGTCCATCGTGTCACGACCTCTACCCCTGCCTCCACCGCGTCCTCTCGATCCACCTCGACCACCGCGTCCACCCCTGCTGCCTCTTTGCTCGTGGTAGTCTTTCATCTCTCTGACAGCTATCCTCTGCGCATCACCAACGCGCTCGGCGTAGACCATCGCTTCGTCCTTGTTGATGACCTCTTCAGGAATTTTCTTGCCAAGCGCGTTCTCAATCCTTAGCCAAATCTCTAGATCGTACTGTGTAACGAACGACACAGCCTTACCCGACTTTCCCGCTCTGGCAGTCCGACCAACACGATGGACGTAAGTCTGAGAGTCACTCGGCAGATCGAAGTTGACGACGAGATCAACGGCGGGGATATCGAGACCACGGGCTGCGACGTCGGTGGCGACGAGGATGTCGCGGCTCTTTGACTTGAATTTGTTGAGGGCGCCGAGACGGGCGGACTGACCTAGTTGACCGTGTAGCGGGATGGCGCCGAAGCCGAGGGTGCGGAGGAGGATGGAGATACGTTGTGTTTCGTTGACGGTGCGGGTGAAGATGATGGTCGGGTGGCCAATGTTGTCGTTGAGGAGATGGATGAGGTAGAGGTCCTTCCACTTGAATGGGAGGAAGATGTAGCGCTGGAGTAGAGTCGAGACGACTTGGTGCGAGGAGCTGCTGATGCTCACGCGGACTGGGTTTTGTAGGGCGGCACGTTGGAGACTCTCAACCTTGGAGGACATCGTCGCAGAGAATAGGTATGTGTGTCGTCCCTCCCTGGGTAGGACCTTTAGGATCTTGTCTAGCACGGGGCCGAAATCTAGGTCGAGCAGGCGATCGGCTTCGTCGAGAACCATGTACTTTAGATGCTTCAGACTGAAGCCCTTGGTGTTTTCCAGATCTAAGGGTGCGAATGATTAGTAGGTGTCTCACATGAAGTTCGTAAGAATATTACTCACGATCAAGTAGACGTCCCGGTGTCGCTACTACGACGTGCGGTTTCTTGGACAGCGAGATGGCCTGTGGTACCATATCCATTCCTCCCACCAACGTCGCGCACTTGACGTTGATGATGCTACCCAAAGCATCCACCTGTTGTGCGATTTGGTATGCCAACTCTCGTGTCGGGGCCAAGATCAGACCAAACAGCGGTTGCGGCTTCTCGAGCAGCGACTGAAGGATAGGTAGGACGAATGCCGCCGTCTTTCCAGAACCCGTCTCGGCCAACCCGATGACGTCCCTGCCCTGGAGGGCGAGTGGTATAGCTTGTTCCTGGATCGGTGTTGGGTGTACGTATTTCAGATTCTCGACTGCGTCGCAGAGCTCTTCGCGCACGCCTAGATCGGCGAAGGTCTTCTTCGGTTCGTTCGCGGCGGGTTGCGCTTCCTCGCTCGTTGCGTCGGCGGTGGTAGAGGGCCCTGCTTCGTCTTTTGAACTGCTGTCGTCTACTACATCTTGTGCTTCTTCGACATCAGTTGAGTCCCTCTCTTCGGCGTCGTCGTCGGCGTTGGACTCGGATTCCGGTGGTGGTGCAGGCTTCTTCTGAACTTTCTTCGCAGGTGCGTTCGATGGTCGCACTTTCTTCGACGACGCACCGGCGGCGGTGGTCGCGTCCGCGTGGAGCTTTCTTTTGGTGACTCCCGGCATCGTGGTGTTGTGATTGTCGAGGCTGGGAAAAGTTGTCCGACAGAATCATGGTACCGCGGTTCCCAACCAAAGAAACCGCGAAATCTTGGCGGACCCACCTAAAAGTTCGAAAGCCGCAGCTCTAGTTTGCGACTACATGCGACGAACTCATTCGCTCTACAACACCACCACGCTTCCCTCCAGGCTATTGGAGGTGCCATACGATCGCGACGCAA